ATGAATGGAGGGACTGGGTAATCAAGAGGAAGCTCTACGCATAACCTAGCGTATCTACCCCTTTAAGTAGCGGATGTACAAGCATATATTTTTAAGAGCTTGCCGATTTTGTTACCAATCCTTGCGAGAATGGTGCTATCATAAAACTCCGTAGGGAGTTGTGGTAGTCTTAACCAAACAGCTGAGATTTGTAGTTTCTCCTTAGAGGCCACGAAATTTGGGACCCATTTCTTAACAGACAAGTAGTGGCCATTGATGAACCAAGGACCTTGGTGAAGGGCTTTGGACAAATTGACTTCTTCGAAGAATTTAACTATGTAGAAATCGTTACCCAAATCAATGAGAGGGGATTGTTCTGTGGGCTTCCAATGTTCAAGGAGTTTTTTCTTGAGGTACTGATGGAGAATACGCTTACCAAATAATTTGATTATAAGAGAGTATTTCCATGGCTCATAAAGCCTTTGCATCTCCTCTGAAGATAGAATAATTGCTTGGTCGTTGTTTGGAGGATCATCCTGGAAAGGAGCATTTGGCGTGTTCTCATAGCAATCATTAGTGACAGGAGCAGAGGAAATCTGCTGATCATACAAAAAATTAATTGGTTCTGGGGAGATGAGTGTTTCTTTAAAGGAGGGAAATTTCTCCTTAAGTGGTGCACTAGCCTCTATTGTAGGATCTGGCGGTTTTGGAGGTATGGTTATGTCTATTAGGGAAGGGTCTATGGTGTGCAGGGACATGATTCTGAGAATGAAGATGAAAAATAAGAAGAAGAGAAGTTAGAGAGAAGGAGGAGCTTCTCAGGCAAATGCTAATAGTATATTTATTTTATACTCAATATTTTTATTATTATCTATATGTATTTAGTAAAAAAATTAGAAGAAGTGTTGAACCTTGCAGTCACTTGCCCTCGGAAATTTTTTTGTTGTATCAAGAAAAAAATCCTAATATTTTATTGCATTAATTCTTTTGACACCTCAGACAATCTTTCCATAAACTATTTTCTTCATTGCTCCTACCAAGTCTTACTCCAGTTTAAGCCTCCAATGGAGGGCCTAATACCTAAACATATCCAACAATAAAAAACTTTTGCAATCTGATCTGCTGGCCAACAAAAGGATCAATCATAAGATCTCGTATCAGTTAGATTCTCTCTCTCTTTCCCCTCTCTCACCAATAAATAGGGGGAAAGAAAAAAATAAATAAAAAAGACCCAACGTGTGTGTATCAATGGCTTCAAGTGGTCAAGATTTACCAGAAGGAACAGTAAAGAACGTGCTAGACCAAGATACATTAAAGTGGGTATTTGTAGGCGGAAAAGGTGGTGTTGGGAAAACAACATGCAGTTCCATTTTGGGTATTTTACTTTCACAGGTCAGATCCTCAGTTCTCATCATATCCACTGACCCTGCTCACAATCTCAGTGATGCTTTTCAACAGCGGTTTACAAAGGCTCCTACCCTTGTTAATGGTTTCACCAATTTGTATGCTATGGTAATTAATTTTCTTGCATTGCCCCATGTTGTCAATTTCTTGTAGTGTGTAGGTCTTGATGTACTGTACCCATAGGCTAATGTCTGACCTACTATGATTATCAAATTTGTAGCATTCTGAATTTAATGTTTGGATATACTGTAAGGTGTCAGGGTTTTATGACTGAAATTCTGTTCTTTAGGAAGTTGATCCAACTGTGGAGAATGAAGAGACAATTGGTTCAGATGGAATGGACGATTTTCTGTCTGATTTGGCGAATGCAATTCCTGGAATTGATGAAGCTATGAGTTTTGCTGAGATGCTCAAGTAAGTGATAATTCCTTTCTGACAGCTAAATCCCATATATGGCTTCCGCTCCCAAAAGAATAACACGGTTTATGAACTTCCTATATCAAGTGTTAACGATCTTGCTTTCATTTCTCATTGTTTGATTTCTATGCAAGAAGAATTAGCACTGAATTATTACAACAACAACAACAACAACAACCCAGTATAATCCCACTAGTGAGGTCTGGGTAGTATGTACGCAGACCTTACCCTACCCTGGGTAGAGAGGCTGTTTCCAAATAGACTCTCGGCATCCTTCCCTCCAAGAACTCCCCACCTTGCTCTTGGGGTGACTCGAACTCACAACCTCTTGGTTGGAAGTGGAGGTTGCTTACCATAAGAGCAACCCCTCTTGTCTTAGCACTGAATTATTAAATGAGGATAAATGAGATGGGATTTATCTATTGTATGATATGCCATGAAAAGTGGTTCTTTGGATGCTATCACTATAAACGCGGAATGAAAGAAGTTAGCTAATTTTCCATATTAATTCCAGTTATGGCATTAGATTTTAGGTTAAGCTGGAACTTAGTAACTAAACTCGAATGGTTCCTTGGACTTCTGTAGTTATTTGGCAAAAAAGCAACTTGAAAAGGAAGACAGCAGTTATTACAATTGGTAGTTGCTCATAAGTTGTTACAAATTTGAATGATCAGGTTCTATTTTCTTGGTAGTTATTACAGCATCAACTGACTTTAGAAATTCAGGAATTCGGCTAGATTATTGTACCATTTAATAAACTCAATTCGGCTGAACTTTTTAACTCTAAATTTTCAAGGGGTGAACTAGAATGTGGACTATTCTTACATATTGGTTCTCCCTTTCTTATCTGGATTACAGAGAAATAACTGGTGGTGGTAAAAAGATGTCTGTTTCAGGTACTGTTTAAGTTTTTAATGCACTTTTCAGAATGAGGAAATGAGGGATCTAATGTTTCTAATTAGGGCATTAGTTATCACCTTCAATACCATGAGGTGCAAATTGTGGCTACAGATCTAATGTTTCTTTGTTTGTTCTTTTTGGGATAAGTCAAATGATTTTGTTAATAGTACGAAAAGATGGCGTTAACTTACAAGCATATCAAACTTCCCAAAAATCTAACCAACTATTTAGGCTTGTCGATATTTCCATTTTAATCCAAAAAATACAAGAGAATAAGAGAACTTTTAACCTGCGACATAGTACTCTTGATCCCTTCGAAGACTCTCCTTTTCCTCTCTCTCCACAATACCCCCAAAAAATACAAAATGGATTTGTCATCAGTCACTTCTTTTTCCAGATTCCAATTATCTTAATTTTTAAGATATAAGCATTTTCGCAACAGAACTAGGTAACACTTCCACGACTTCAATAGATTTGATGGAATTATCCACCATTTTATACTGAATACTGCATAATCTCCGCAACTCCGAAGCAAAATCAATGCAATACTAGGTGGTTCACATCTTCTCCATATAATTTTCATAAGCAACACCATCTAAAAACGTTACATCCTTTCCTTAGATTGTATGCAATTAGAATGTTTTTCCTCCCATTACCATATAGAAAAATAAATACTAAAAATTTGGCTGAACAAAAGGAACCTTTTCCTGAACATTAGCCGTGTTTGTTTTTGTACAGATGCGCATATACATCTAGATAAGTAAGGATTCTTGTATAGACATTATGTGCAGTTTAGATGTTTCCTTTACAAGCTTTGAGAGCGAAACAATAAATTTTAGTGCAGAATTGAGGAAAAGGAAGGGCAAGGAAGGTAAGCAATGTTAGAAGGAATGCTGATTCCATATCAGAAAAGTAATCTCCTTTACAAGCCTTTAGAGCGTAACAATAGATTTGTCATGCAGAACTAAGGAAAAGGCAGAGTAAGGTAAGCAATGATAAAAGGGATGCTGATTCCATATCAGATAGGTAAGGAAGATTTGGACCTAGCCACCTTGTTTCAACTATGAACTATGATAGAAAACTAGGGGGAAATGAAAGAAAGGGGAAGGGAAATATGCATTTTAATTTATACCAATACGCTTCTAAAATTTATGATGTGGAACACTAGTGGTTTAAATGATCCCTAAATGAGGGGGTCGTTAAACGAGCAATAAAACAGTGAAGGTCACCTGATGTTTGCTTGCAGGTGGTTCCAGGCCAGAAAAGATGATAGGAATTACAGAACATGTGACTCGTATTGTATGCAAAATTTTTGTGGCAGATGGTATATTTATTTTAATGGGATAAAAAGGTAATCTACTTTCTTGAGGAGATACTGACGTCACTAGGTTTATCTTGTTGTGTCAGAGTGATTGGAGAAGTTTAGAATGGGCTTTATCCGCGTAGACATGGAGTGAAGAACAGTATACAAGTTCTATAGGAGATAAATTATGAAGTAGGCAGCAACGCCGGCAACTATGGCAGTTTAATGCGTGAATGCAGGGAATTGCTATGCTACCAGATTTCTCGAAGAAAGAAGTGGTTGACAAATAGTGGAACATGTAACCAACGACTTCTTCGAGTTCATGCAAAATTGTTGCTATCATTGATTTGGCACTCCGAGGTGCAAGCTTTACTTGGAGAAAAGAATAACAACATTATGCATTGGTAAAGTTAACATCAAGCGATTGGCAAGAGATATCTTTCCATCCAGTAGGGCGGTCAAAACTTTTATCATACACTGTCGTCTTTCACTAAATAGTGGCTGAATAGATAGGGGTTATTGCCCTTTGGTTTAAAAAAATATTTGATTTCAAAAAGATGGTTTCATGGATTTGATGACTTGTGGGACGGGTATGCTGTCAATGGGGACCGAGCTTTAAATTGTCTTTTAAGCTAGAACTGTTGAAGAAGGATCTCAAGATTTGAAACTGGAAGGTGTATGATGGGGTGGACACTTAAAATTGCTAATCTCATGCATGAATTGAATTCCTTGAAAGGAAAGGACAACTTAGATAATCTTTTTGAAGATGAGGAACTTGTGGGAGAAGAAACAAAAGAGAAGTTCAGATGAATTGTCAGTGCTTAGGAAAAGAAATCTCATATTAAATGGCTGAAAGAGGGAGATAATAACACCAATTTCCACCAAATGGACAATTATCACATAAAGCATAATTAAGTGAAAGTTAGAAATTAATGAAATAATTTTTGGAACATGAAGATAAGTGTCATGAAGATATGACATAAATACAAGCGAGCTTTATATGAGGAAAATGAGTATTGGATACCAGCCTTAGATAGCATTGTCTTTCATAATATCATATATTAATTTAATTGACAAAGAAACCGAGGTTGAGGAGGTGGAACAAGTTTCGAACTGTGCGCCAACTAGCCCTTGGGGTTTTCTCGGTTATAAAAAACAAATATTTTTGTTGTTAATTGAAAAAATCAGCATTTGACTTTGTAGACATAAGGCATGGTTTCTAATCTAAGTTGCTCCGACACGGCATTTTAGGTGCCGCACCCGTATCGACATGTACTAGTATGGGTGTGGGAATGGGATCCGTGCCGAATCTGGTCAAACAATTTTGGGTACTTTGACCACGATGGTCGGAAAAAATTGAGACGAGAAACAATTTGATTCCCGAAATCAGAACCAAAACTAGGGTAAATTTGAAGAAAATAGAATACTTTATCTAGAAATCAATCATTTACTTATCTACAACTTGAGAATAAAAAAAAATCCACACTTTACAAGTTATACGTTAGTATTCCACAAAATTTCTCATTATCTAGAGATATTTTATATTTTTATTTTTTGAATTATTTTTAGCCGGATCCGGGCACACGTATCCGTACTAGGATCCGTATCCCGGGATATTAGAATTTACGTCTCGAAGAATCCGACCTCTAGATCAACACCCGTGTCGGACACCACACCTATGTCCAAGCAACTTAGTTTCTAATAGCTGATAGTTGATGAAAAATAAATTGTCATATTCTTTATGTGAAGTAATTCTATTCACAAACTACCAGCCCCAAGAAAGTTCTTTATCTTTGCAAAAATATAGGATTTAAACTCCTTTCGTGATGCAGAGAATCAGTGAACTCAATGAAACTTTCAGAACCATGACCGTTTTTCATATTATGCCAAAGGGTTAATGATCTTAAGCAGTTATATAACTAGCTATAAAGTGCCTCTGATCTTCATATTATTTGTAGTTCTTGGCCTTCCAAACTGTCCATAATATGCTCATGAGAGTTGTAAACCAGAGGGCTTTAAAATGTCTTATTAACTTCTGCCATTGCCAACTGATTATAGCTTCTTTCAAGGTACTTGGCATGACCCACTGAACTCGAAAAAGATTAAACAACATACGTATGGGGCTTCCACACATTGTTAACACAAACATCTTTTACCCATAATGAAACACTGTTCTGCAGATTGTATTGAGGAAGACATGCCACACGTACTAGCCATCCAAAGCAAGACACTTTTAAGGGAGCATTAGATTTCGAGAACCTATTCCAGAGCTGCTGCCTGTCATCCTACCTGCATTTGTTAGCAAGTTGTAACAGGATTAAACAGTAAAGTTGCATTCTTTATCTACCAGCGTATCAGGTTCAGAATTTAGCTCCTTTAGCCTTCTAAATTATTTGCAGTGACTTTACTGTTACTGCTGCCTTTTCTCTACTCCATATAACCAAAAGGTATATTATCATTTACAGAACTTTCTGAAAAATTGGGTTAATCTTTACAATTCCAAAACTTGGAGATTTCTTCTAAATCTGATCCATATACGTCACCTCTGCAGTCTGCAATTACAAAGCGATATAAATCTGGATGTATTACCTTTACCTTTTGAGAAAAAAAATCTGGAAATATTATCTTCAGAGGGGTGTTCTCTATCCATTATCCTGCAAAAACATTTTTTGGCCATCTCCAGCTTTCGGTTCACCATATTCTGAAACCTGCCGATAATTGTCAATGGAGAGCAATCCAATGTGACCCTGTGGCTGGATTAGTGCCAGTAATCCGCAATACAAAAATTCATCTGGATAACCACTGACAATCTTGGTTTTTGTTGAACCTCCAGTACTTAAATGATAAACTCTTGTGTCGCAACCTCAAGTTGTTGACACTCAGTCCCTTTTTTCTTCCGATGCTGGAACTCTTGACAATTTCAACCAAGTGCATTTTTGTTTTTCTGCTTTCCCATGCCATAAGAAGTCTCGTCTAAGTCGGTCTCGTTTGTACTTGCTGGGGTGGGGAATGATGACATGAAATATAAAGTTGGTAAATTAATAATTTTCATGATTTAGTTCCTTATCAGACAAATTATGATTTAATTGGAATTTTTTAGTAAAAGTGGACATGTTGGTAGTTTTTTCATGATACGACAATCAATGTCAAGGAGAAATGGTCAGAGAGTAAATGGCCAGGTTCACAAGAGAAAAGTTCACCATCTCTAACTGCAGTAGCGAACAGGCTATTGAATCTTTCAGATGCGGATGGGTAACCGATAAAAGAAAAGCGACTTGTGGATAATTCTTCTGTTGCAACTCCCATGGGTTTGAGTTATGTAACCCTAAGCATAAGTTTCTTACCTAAGGGATCTGGGACTGATATTGAACATGCTATATGTTTGTTGAAATTTTCTTTTATTGGGGATTCTAGCATATTCTCAATCTGCTATCAATCATGAACCATTAAATTCCACATCCATCATGTTAAGATACCCTCGCCACTACATCAGTGATCAGTGGTCATCAACATCCTGGAGCCTCATTTTCTTTATTATTTTTCCTGCATTTCTCAATGTTCTTTTTTCCTGTTTTAATCCCAACTTCTTGCCCATAATTCAGCACCCAAACTTGCCACTAGACTCCCAAAAGTAAAGTCGATAACTATTCCCTTTGGATTTCGCATAAGATGTTTCCTTTCTTGTTCCAGATCAGACATGATGCATTTATGACACCCAAAAGAAATTCAAAATATGAGGGAGGAGAAAAATTTAGTAGCATATTTTACCTAAGTTACTAAATTGGATGCTTCAAATTTCTTGGTTACTGTATCTCTCAGTCTTGTTTTCTTAACAGTATTTGGAATGGTTTAATGATATTGAACTAGTGTTTGGAGTCTGTGCTGGAAAATCTTCGGGATTAAACTGTCTTTCACTTTCTTCTGAGGCGGATAAAGATATTATGGTCCTAGGAGGTTAAGGTCTTGGGGGTAATTTATAGTATTTATTAAAAAGCTTTGTAGTTGCACTAGGTCCGAAATTGGATTCCAAAATTATTTTCTTTTTCGGTAACTCCAAATTATTTATCACTATAGACTTTTAAAAAAATTATTGATCACTATAGATGTTTTCAACATGCCCTGTTCCTAACATTCATTTACTTATGGTACATTCATAGTACTTAGATGCTACTATTTGGTAGATTCTCTCGAGGCCATGAAATGTGCTGGGCTTTTGCTAATATTTCTGGTGTGTTTTCTTTTCAGTTAGACTTAAGTTCATTTGCATTTGTTTCTTTCTAGATTGGTGCAAACAATGGACTATTCTGTCATAGTGTTTGATACAGCTCCAACTGGACATACTCTCCGGTTATTACAATTCCCATCGACACTAGAGAAGGGGCTTGACAAAGTTATGAGTTTGAGGAATAAATTTGGCGGTGTAATAAGTCAGGTAAATCCCTTCCCCTTGCCCGAAAAAACTTCTTTTCCTATTTTCTTCCCTTTGAGCCTCTAATATGATGATTTTTTTTTGGGGGGGTG